TATATCGAAAAACCAACAACATCAATAGTTCATATTCCCATTGTTACCAGGATTATGCCTTCTGAAGGCCTTTCTTTAAAAGCAGCACGCAAAGAATAACAAGGCCGAAAAATGCGTTATCTACCACAAACGTCATGGTTTTTGAGTCAAAAGTGAGATATCGTATAAGCGCACCGAGGAAAGATGACATTTGGGTGTAAATAAAACGCTCTCGAGTTCGTCACGCTAAGCGGGCAGGATACAACATTACACAAACTAAGAACAATCTTAATAGGCAAGCAGTAGCCGCCACCAATTATTATAGGCTTTTTTAATACGTATATTTGGTGTTATACGTATATTATTTAAATAAGATTTCAACAACCAAGATTTTTGTATTTACTGAAATCATAAAAATATATCGATAAATATTGATGTATCGGCTTTGTGAAGCAATATATCGATATCAACTGTAACCAATATATATCGAACTCAATATAACGATAATTTTATGAAACTTATATGTCTAATCTTAACCAACTTTTATCGACTGTTTTATCCGCTGAGCTACCCACGACCTAATAGGGGTGACGATTTTTACTATAGTAGCGAAAAAGTAACAAGTGCTTGAAAAATTCGTCAGTCCTCTTAGGCCCTGGGTAGCTCAGTAGTTAGTCATGGGTTCAAGTCCCATCTCAGAGAACCAGTGGCAAACTGAATTTTTTAAGCATTTTTGAATGCAAAATTGGTCAAATATATATTTAAAACTAGCTGTGCCCGCGACTTCGTCTGCGTGGGAAGTATTTTGGTAGAATTCTTTTTTTCTTATGAATACAGACGAATCGAATAAGATCAAAGGACCATAAACTTATAAGCGGGCTTAATATGGATCGGTGGGTGTTAACGTTGCTGATGCAGCCAGAACTAACGGCTTAACGTGCATTATGCTATGTTTTGCACAGTGCTCAAGATAATAATGTTTTGGTCACCCATCCTGTAAACGGTCCTTACAAATGTTATTTTTCTATTTTTTTCTTTTCTCGCGCTCTGGTTGTTGCTTGTGTCTGAGCATTTTATTCATACCTTTAAACGGTCCTTCTTTTGTTTTTGATCTTTTAAAATTATTATTATTTGTCTAGTTGTATACACAATCCGCTATTTATTGTTCTATTTTTCATGTAATGCTTGGAAGAAATCGCTGGCTAGCGACGAGTTTATCGTTTGTGCTTATTTATGTAAAATAAGTATTTATGTATGTTCATGTTGTGCAGTATTTACTTACTTATTTAACTGTAATTTAAACCGAATGCGCTAACCTACTACGCCATTGGACCCCTTATACCTAAGCTATACTAATATTATAAAGAGGAATGATTTGGTTGTTTGTTTGTTTGCATCGAATTTGCTCCAATACTACTGGACCGATAGTTGCAGAGCGATTCCGACCTACAGGAACCAAATCAGACGCGCGTGTCATAGGCTATAATTTTGCGCCAAAGTCGTGGGAAAATAGCTAGTTCATTATATCCTGTGAAAACTTATCTGCAGTACGCCTGTGGAGTATGAAGTCAACACGGGTTGGCAATAATAGAAACTACTTTCTCGTTCTCTATTGTGCAAACTGCGAGCTCTTTCAGAGACCAAGCGCATTTCCCTATCAAAAGAAGTTTTATACTCATAACATACTGCATGTATGTAAATGCTTCAGATTCAACTTTATAGTGCATGAGCCTCGCTATGGGCAGTTAAATACGCTTCGCGTTTTTCAGGTGTCTACCGAGACCGAGCGCTTTCCGTCTGATCTCTTTCTTTGTCTATAAAAGATACGTGGAGTTTTATTTATTGATGTAAAAACAATATATACATATTTTAATTTCGACTTTCCACACTCGAAGGAAATCGTCTACTAACATACTTCCGTGAGGTGCTTAACTGAGCTTCTGTCAGATTTGAACAGCCCTCATCATCATCATAATCAGCCCTTTTACGTCACCAACTGCAGGAGCTCAGGCCTTCCTTATGGATAGTTAAAGAGGATGGGCCACGACCCTCCATGCTGGGCCAATGTGGATTGGAGGATATTAACGACTGCAAATACAACCGGGACCAATCGCTTTACATGCTTTCCGAAGCTTGGCGTTGCTTGAGATAATATTTTTTGGTCATCCATCCTGTGCCCGACCTTTGCGAAAGTTGCTTAACAACTACAATCACGGGCCATGGCGCTTATTCACTACGCCACCGAGCTACTCTGAACCGACCCTCAGACTCGCGTAATATTATATGAGTGTTGTGACCAATGAATAAAGCATTGTTTCCAGCAAAGACTGAAAATACCAACTTTGAAGTACGTATCTACAGCAATTTGTATGTTAAAAAAAACAAAAAGAGTATTAACATAAAAAAATAGCAATTAGAGAAAAATATATATATAACTCGAGTTGTCTTTACGTTCTTAACTTTAGTTGACGTGAATCTAAGTTTTTTAACGTCGTGGAAAAACTTCTGACATTTTCTGTGTTACCTGGCAAGCTACAGGGGTGAGTAGGATTCTCCACCGTGAACCCAACAGTGAGCTGCCCGGTGGGTCCCCAGAGGCCTACCCACCAAAATCCGTACTCTACACCTTCTCATGGGAAATGAAAACCGGCAAGCTATGGCCGAGTCACCAGGACACTCAAGTATTGGACCAGATGGACCAAAATTGGAGACTCGGGTAAATCGAGTGCCTCTCCCACACAGACGAAACCGTGCAATGCGGGAGCGGCTACCAACTACCTCCGCTGGCCCCGACGACGACGTGAACCTAATTTGATAAAAATATGCGTTCACTGTAAACTAATCGAGGTATTAATTGCATCATCAGAAGGCTCTTTCCGCTTGTTCTCCTACTCGCGTGATCGTATACCACATGTCCATTATAAACTGAACCCTATTTAATATGATTGGCCATATATAAATGAGGTCAACTTACTTCGGAGATGTAAAAATTTTGGAATCTTATTTTTTTATTTGTCATCATACAAATTATCATTTTATAGACAATATTAATTCGTAGCTCGGTGGCGCTACGGATATGCGCCGCTGCGCACAATCGCTATTGCTAAGCAATTTTCGCAAGAGTTGTTCACGGGATGGGTGACCAAAAATTATTAAACAAAGGCCCGAGGCCCTGCAGTTTGGCTGTGATAGAGTTAATGATGATGATCAATATATCAAAGACAAAAATTTAATAAAACAGTTAATATTTCATAGCAATTTTGGCGACCACGTCACTTCAAATTGACATAACTTTTTTATTTGTGAAGCGATTGAAATAAATCTTACACTAAATGTTAACGGAAAAATGCCGCAATATAATAGTGATAACTGCATTTAAATCGGTTCAGCCGTTTCTGAGTTTATCGTACACAAGACACAGACAAACAGACAAACCAACAAACAGACAAAAAATTTAAAAATCATTGTTTTGTGTTCTATTACTTTTATAAACGTCCCTCATAACAGTTTTTTTCATATATCTTCAATGTACAGACATCAATCGGTTACGTTTTTATTATAGTATAGATTATATAAATTCTAGGTATTTTACGTTTATCAAAATTCCATCAATCATCTGTATACGAATGGGAAATGCCCTAATATAAGTTAATAAGTCTGATAGCAGTAAGAACTCTGTAAAATCTTTGTACAAATTAGATGCACCGAAAAGCTAAGTGAGTAGATTTTTTTAAAATACCAATCTTACTGGGCGGCTTATCTTAGATTTGCGATTGAGCTCGTGACCATAGGACTTGGCAGATCGCAGAACGGTTGTTTAGAACGCGGGAGGGCAGAGGGCGGATATTACAGGGGAAGTCCCGAAGCCATCGATCATCGTTACTGTCAGAGAAACGAAGCGCCTTTTAACGAGGTAGATGGCCGCGTTGTGACCGCCACCGCACTGGTATCGCCTTTAATCCAGGGCCTCTGCTCTGCTAATTTATTAACGTCAAAACACAGTCTAAGTATGTCGATAGCAAATCGACAAATTTATTATGTACTATAAATATTTTTGAACCCTATCATCATAATCAAAACTTCAAATAGGTATCGCTTAGAGTGTTTTTTTGATAACTACATAACTACTAATAAGTTAAGATTTAGCTATTTGAAAACAACCCCTAATACTCGTACAATTCCATTCAAAACTTTTAGTTCTGTAGCCCTGAGGTAACTTAACAGGGCGCTCGGTAAAGCTACCTCAGGGTATGCATTCTCGACAAAGTTTGCGATCGAAAATTAACCAGATTCGGTCGCTTACACATAACGATCGTATTTTAATGATTTGCAATAATTTCGTCAGTTATTATTTGTTAAGCACGTATCAAGTGCAACTGTCAAATTAGTGATATTCGATGGTTTTTGACAGTTGAACTCGATTCACGAACGTATGCGGTAGGCAAAGGCTCTGTAGTCCCAGGTAACGTGGATGAATCCACCATATTTTCAAATCTTAAATGTAAAGGAAAGGGAAACCTAAACGTGACAAATATCTACCACGAGAACCTCCATCTTCCGCTTAGCTGTAAACAAACAAAACTAGACCTCAGTAATGCGTTATTTTGGAAAGACATCAAATATGACTTTCCGTATATCGACTGTGAACTGGCAAATTGTGTTATCTCAATTTTGACAACTTTTCAGGAAGTAGAAAAAACGTAATTATTAATAGTTTTGGAGTGATTTATCCAAAATAAAAAAACAGTTGGTTTAATATATGTTTTCTATTAGAAATTAAAGACATTTTTTTTATTTATTAATCATTTTAATTAGAAAATCGAGTTATGACATTATGAATCAGCTGTAAGTCCCACTTAGGATATTTTAAACGATGCAAAAGGTCCGAAGTTATAAAAAGAAAATCAATATTCAAGATGGGATAATTTTCACTTTCAGTTATTTGTATTATTACATATTAAATTATAATAATAGCAAAAATCAACATGAACTTTGGTAAGATTAAAGAATCGTTACTATTATTAGCCTTGGCAGGGCAAATTATCATAAAAATAATGGCAATCCTTAGGTATGACAGACTTTAGTTCTTGCAGATGTAACCACTTAGTTTTGGATATACAACATCGTGCTGTAAATAATGGTGGATACGATTGTACGGCATCAAATCGTTTTGGTCTTTGTGGTAAATCTTTTAGTTCCTCAGAAAAGTCTAGTTTTACTTTAATTATTCCCGAAGGATGATAGCTTATCACTTTTATGTCGGTTACTGTTGGATCATGTTTCATTCGACCAGGTCTAATAGAATTATATCGTAAAGGCTTTGTATAGTCTCGAAAAAAGTCGTAAGTAAGGTCTATGGCTTCGTATGGTGTTGGCTTTTCACGTGCTTCTCTAGTAATAGACACGTAGTCACTGGGGAGTTTGATTTCTTTCTTTTTTAATTTTCTCTCGATGCATGCATGAACAGAATCCACCTCCATCTGGGTATGACCGACCTCAAGATATTTTTGATATATCAAAACTCCGTGAAGCATACTAAAATTTAGCAGAGCATTTGCCATCACATTATTTCTGTTTTGAGCAGTGCACCCATCAGAAAATATTATGATAGGTTTTTTTTCTGCAGTTATGCATTTTTTTTTCAGATAATGAATCAAACATGAGACAAATGTAGATGCTACTAATTGATTGTTTTGGTCTTCGGAGAACCAGTAACAAGTTGATTGTTTTTTTACGATATCATATATTGTAAAGTTATGGCAGGCTAGTTTTGTTTTGTAGTAGAAAGCATTAGCATGAGTAAATGGCGCTAGTTTAACTGCCTGGAAGTCTACTTCTATTAATATTATTTCTCCTCTATTAGCTTTTTCTATATCTTCCCGTTTTTCCTTTCTAGCTTTTTCTTTCTTCTCTATGTGTTCTTTCCAAGACTCTTCCTGTAAATTTCCTGCTTCATAGCTAGCACATAAATTGCATTTATCTTTTTTGACGTTAAACAAGGAAATATTTTTGCTGCTCATAACTTCACTGAACTTTTTGCGACTAAAACTTGGTTGTCCGGTTTCATTACATTTAACTAAATAAAGTTTATAAACATCTTTAATAGTCTGAAGAACAGGTTCCAGGTACAGTTTTGATGAATTTTGTCTATTGTAATGAGATGGCATTTTTGGTAAACTATCCAAAAAGTTACTTAAAAAATCTTCCTGTGACCTCACCACATTATTAACGGAAGTATCTTTGATTTTTATTGTAGCTGGAATTCCATGAGAGCTATCGTTTACCCACGATTGGACCATTCTGTAGCCGATTCCTAAAGTATTTAGGAACATATCTCGACAAACTTGATAATTTTGTTGCCCATTATTCAAATTATAAATTAACGTAAAATTACGCCTCGAGTCACCATCGGTTGTGTTTGTTTTTTTTGCAATCTTAGTCACGTATCCACAAACAAATGCTTTGCGCTCTCCCCAAGTTAGGCCCCAAAATCGTTGGTATATTGATTCTCTCTGTTCTTGGGTGAAATATTGGCAATTTCGTTTCTTTGAGTTAGCACAAACAGTACTCATGCAAGTTGGTTTTATTTTACGTTCGTCCCTTGGTATATCCTGAATAACTGTAGACCCGGCTTTTCTGAATCCTAAGTACGCCTTCCCTTCCATACGTAATTTTTTGTTAATATTCCTCTTCCACTGGCTAGGGTCGGCTTTCTTTCGCCGTTTTCTTCCTTCATTCATGTTGTGATTATTGGGATCTATAAACTTATCGGATTCGTTTTTGAGAAGAGATGAAGACAGCGGGCGTTCATCATCATGAGTATTTGTTAGCGTGATTGGTTCCTGAGAATCGTTTGTTTTTTCTAAATAAATGATTTGTTCCCTTGAGCTTTCGGAGTTTGTATCGTGTGCGAACTCCAGTTGTATTGGTAAAACTTCTTGTTCTGAAGAAGGCACACAACGTGGAATTATATGATCTGTAGAGGGAAGATGTTCTTCTTCCATATTAAATGAATTTAGAGAAACATAATCCGTAAAGCAAGAATCTTCAGTCAACACTATAACAGGGAGTGTTTGTTGTACCTCGGGAATACATTTCTGATAGTCGTTAATGTTCTGTGAACAAAAAAGTATTATCTGCATAATATTAAATTTTCATGAGAAATAGATACTTATTATCATTAATTCAAGTCTTATTAAGTAGTGCAAGTTTACCTCTTTCGCTGATATGTTTTCGTTTCTTTCATTATTTCCGTTAGCATCATGTACCGCTTGCACTAAACGTCTACCTCTAGACAACTTATAGTCCTGTATTAAATAATATATATTAATAATTGTGTTTCAAACAATATAAAAAGATATAAAATAAAAATTTTATGGACACTAAAAACAAAAAGCACTATCTTGCTTCAATTTTTAAACCGACACCTACATTAGGTACATACAAACTCTAATTCATTTTGTCCTATCTTATTATTCAAATTATTAACGTCTAATTATTTTATAACTACAATGAAATCCCATTAAATACTTACCATTTTTAATCCTGGATAACATTAATAATAAGTTGAAATAACATAAAACACAGAACACTAGTAAATATTACTATTATACCCTTTTTTATTAAGAGCGGCTGAAGATCGTGTTCATGTCGGTACCAATTTAACGAGATAGTACAAATTACTCGCATTTAAAGCGGAAGCGCTGTTAGTATTGGTTGAATTAATTAGATTTTGCCGGTAAATTTAAATTATTTAGTAGATATTATATTATGAGACGGTAAAAGATATGAAATAGTATGAAATGCCATAAAAAAGTTTTATACCTCAAATTTTAAGATAGGACATATTGCCGGTTCACAGTCGATATGTCATTTCACTTCTGCTTGCTGAAATACTGACATTTTTTAAATGGGTTTAGTTACATAAGATGACAAAACGAATATGAGCAAAGTGAATATGTGAAAACTTAATACAACAATCAAAATAAGGAAAATTATAAAATAATATGTTGTAAAAAGTATTTCAGTGCGATAGCTGTAGCTCATACCTAGCCTACCAAGAAAATATATAGTTATTGTAACAACTGCTTGTATTTACATATAATACTTATCCAAATTTTAAGAGTATCGATGGCTTAGTGGATAAGCGCTGCGGCACGCGATCGTTGTCGTTAAGCAACTTTCGCAAGGGTTGGTCACGGGATGGGTGACCAAAAAATTTTTATCTCGAGCTACTCCGTGCTTCGGAAGGCACGTTAAGCCATTGGTCCCGGCTGAATTTTTAGTTGTTAATACCCGTCAATCCGCATTGGGTCGGCGAGGAGAGTCATAGCCCATGCTCCTTAACCATCCATAAGGAAGGCCTGAGCCCCTGCAGTGGGGTTGAAATAAAGGGCTGATGATGATGGTTATATTTACATATTATTTGTAAGTTATTTTTATAAACTACCTATATAAATTATTGATTTATACGTAGTCATTATTTCTATAACTCTATAAGTTTGAATTCATTTTTTGTAGTTAGTTTGTATAAACTTTTATTATGTAACTTTGAAATAATTGTATTTATATGCAGACACAAAATTTTATTGCTATTTTCCTATTTTAATATTTGTATTTAAATAGCTAATACATTAATGTATTTTATACTTGACGGATCATCCGTCAGATTTGCACCGACCCTAAAAGTGTGATTAAAATTATTCTCTTATAAAGCTCGTCAAGTTCGCGAAATATTTAGGCTAGAAGTTGATTCTCCTTGTATTGGTTTTGGTTTACTATTGATATCTCAGTTTACCTTAAAAACATTCCTTTATTGACATATTATTGTGTAAAATAAGTTTAGCTATCCAACATCTTTGAACCACTATTGACGATTATGTACATTTTTATGACTTTCCTGGATATTTAATCCTAGTTTTTAAGCGGTCTTAAGCCTATTTAGTCATATATGTAATTTTTAAAGTATAAACAATGCCAAATCCTACCTAAAATAAATATTTATAATTAAAATATTGAATTTGGTGTTTTAGTTTTGATTTTAAATTACTAATATGAGTCTTGTTTGGTCTATTTTCATTACATTTACATATTCCACGTTAAATTTCGTTCGAAAAATGCATACTAAGTCAAATAAAAACCACATCGGCTCTGTCAGGGAAGGCAACAGCAATTAATCAACTAAAAATAGATATATTTATTACTAACAATTCGTCATATTTTTTAAATTACAATGCCCCGAAGCAAGCAAAGTAAAGAGGAGATTTTGAAAAAAAAAAGAGAGAAGCAGAATGTCGTCGATACGAACTAATAAAAAATGATGCTCAGTTAAAGGCTAAGCTAAAGGAAACGGGTATTGTTTAATAATCCAATAAGTGACGATGATCCTTTCTACTTCTACTTCTGTAAGTGTACTATGGCGACTTATGGCAACTTAGTCTAATGGTGGAGGTGGGTGGCGCAATGAAAAAACTGGTAGCACTCCTTAGTCTTGATTTATTTCTGATAAGAATTACATTAAATCACTTACAATAATTATACTACGATGCTCACCCTAAGCTGGTCTCGATCAGAAAAAAAGACTATTCACCAGCAAAACACGAACACGCGAATTCGAATAAGAAAAAGTAATAATTTAAAATATTAACGGCCAGCACTTGACCATAAACCGTCCGAAGAGTAAACCCTACCTATAGTAATGTGCTCGGACGTTACATGCCCGGGCTCCCTAAAAAAAATTATTAGAGCGTGTGAAGACGCTCGAATAATTTTTACAGAAGTCTAAACCCTAAGTCCTACCTGCTTGAGGAACTTAGAGGAGGCGGTTTTTACTAATAAACCAGCTCCTGCAATGAAATTCCAATTTACTACATTATTGTTCAGACTTCTTAAGGAATTCTTCACATTGCAGAAACTCTACAAGTGCAAAACCTCAATAAAAGCACCTGTACGTCTCCCAAATGACTACAATCATCAAAACCCTAAGTTTGATATTGGATGACGTCAAAAAAACCCAAACATAACAAACTTTATTTAAAACATAGCTATCATATAATATTCCCGATTCCCGTAGTTAAAATCAAGCAAAATCGAATCAATTACAGTTAATATCCAACCCAAAATAATAAACAAACGGATATGGCCAATGACAATGTGTATATCTTATAAGCATCCATGATAAATCATTGACACCCATGAGACAACAAACTGACATATGGAGCCTAAGGACGTCCAGCATCAAACAAGACGAAACCCAATTCCTATGGAACCAGATGGGTTCCCCGACCCTCGCAATGCCTATGTATAAACACTACGCGCGATACAATAATAATGACGACGCGCACACGAAGTGGGTGTCTGTCGACTTATCAACAGAGATGCTTCATAGTAGGCCCTCCGTATTGCTGACGTCAGGATACGCGCCAGCTTCATCATGCTCTTACGGGAATCCGGCAGATGAAGTATGAACATGAAACAATTAAACAGTATTAACAAATATCCAATTATTAAACAACTATTTCACATGACAATATATATTAAACATATTGGATTAATATTATTATTCGAAATTAGCTCACTATCAAACTAAACTTGAACAAGGAATCGAACCTGTCATAGTTCCTGAATAAAAGAAAATAAATTAAAATTAAAACAAATAAGAATTATTATTATAATAATGAAAATACATTAACCTAATACCGTCAACTCTGGCAACATTACCATATTTTTAGACATTTTAGCAAACTATGGATACATAGAGCATGTTACTTTGATTTTTAATGATTCAGTCTGTAAAGCAAACGCGTCCATATTAGTTAACCCGTTGAACTCATCTAAATAGGAAATAAACTCATTACAATATCATTTTTTGTTGTCTAGGTAAAATTGACTCGTTTTTGGCAACTTTACCTTATCAAGAGTTTACATAGAATAATCCATACAAGAGGTTAGGCAACGTAATGTTACTATTATTTCTTGAGCAAAAATAACGATATTGCTGTCATAGAAGCTTTTTACTGTTTATTTTTGTATCTAGTAACACTACGGTAAAGTTGCCCTTAGATTTTTGAATTTTTCATAGAAGCAAGTAGATGTCGCCAGGGATGTCAATTTTCAAAGTAAGTTATAAAATCAAAGAAATATAATTAATGGATATTTATTTATTAGGCAAGTACAATGTTATTCATTAGAGATCAATCAAAATAGTATTTAAGTAACAAAAATTATATAAACTCTGTAAATCATAAAATTGTTCCAAAACGTGAAACAAAATAAAAGTTAAGCATAAAAAATTCTGAAATATTAACATTACAGTAATATCTAATATAGCACGATAGTTACTAACGTTTTTAACGGAACTTAATTCTTTGAAATGGCACAAGTTAATTATTATAAAAGAAAACACTAAGAAAAAACTAACTTATATAACTAAACTGAATTCTTTGGAATGGCACAAGTTAATTAGTGTAAAGGAAATAAAACACTTTAATGACTTACAAACAACCTACCTACCAGAATCAGTAATCAAAATACACATAATCATCATCCTCTAAAAATACAAATTCAGTCTCTTGTTCATTTATACTCATCAGCTGCACTTCTTTCACAATCATTTCTTCATTTATAGTATCAATGTCTTCTTTCTTTGGTTGAATAAATTTTGTATTATCGCTTTTTCCTAATTTCTTTAAATAAGAAACTTGGTATCTATTTTCTAGTTTTGCATAAATTTTGCCAACAAAATATTGAACTTTCTTTTCAAGTATGTATCGCACTAATATATAATCATTAATATTATATGACATCAAAGTATTTTTCTCAGGCTCCTTACTACAACCTGCACCTGTTTCATTGTTGGTGGTCATTTTATGAGATGTCAATTTTGGCATTTTTGTTCTTTCCTTTTTTATTCCTCCAACCCTATCAACTTTTGTTTTCACTTTAGAATTAGTGTTTATAGGTTTAAGTTCAAATGGACCATATTTGCTCAAATCAAAATATGCCTGATTGTCAGCTGTATTTTTTATATCAGATAATATGGTCACTTTAGTTGTTAAGCTTTCGCTACTCTTTACACTTATTTCATTTTCATTTCCATTTTTTTCATTTTCTATGTCTTCATCTTCATCACATTTAAGATCATAGTCTGAAGTATCACTAGAAGGTATTACGAAACTTGATTCTGAGTCTGAAGTACTTACAACACGTTTTTTTTTCTGAAGTGGCTTCTGTTTACTGTCTACTTTCTTGCTCAAAGTTTTGTTTGGATGTCGTTCTGTTTTACTTTGTTTTATTGCAGACATTTTAGAGTTTTGATCTTGTATTCGTTCAGTTACAGTTGCTAGAGTTTTTTTTACAATTGTGTTCTTCTTTATGGTGGCTTTCTGCTTGATGGTACTAGATATATCAACGCTGCTTACTGATTTACCACTTGGTACAGTTAATTTGGTGTTCTTACCTCTTTTTATTGGATTGGGATATTTGTTCTCTTTGAGATAATCGAGTAGTGATTGGTCAACATCATATTTTGTTTCATCTTCGTATTCGGGCAATCTTTTATATACCTCGTAAGGATTGAATGGGTATATACCTGTTGTCTTAAAGCCGCTTACCAAATTTTGCTTTTTTATATTAGCAGCATCCATCAACTGCTTCAATAAAAGTGGAAAGTGGCTTTTGTTTAGCGATGCCTGCTTAGGATTTTCTGTTTTATATTGCAGAAGAATTTTCCTCCAAGACTTTTTCAATGGCCCGAAAAAGGCAACATCTAGTGGTTGAGTAAGTTGTGTTGACCTTGAAGGCAAAAACACGAAACGAATTTGATAAGCCTCACACAATTCAACTACATCTGGATTTAGATGGCTGGATAAGTTATCACCTATAACCAATTTCGGTCCTTTCAATTGTTTAGCCCAGGAAATTACTATATTCGTGAACCAGTCCAAGAATACGACAGAATCGAACCAACCGCTTTTGGTGCGATTATAACGTGCTCCTTCCGGTCCATCCTTACACCACTCCGACCATAAATTTTCAGATTTGTACACCACGTATGGTGGAAGAAGATCTCCATCGGCAGTACCCGCGAACATGACGGAGATACTGCCTTTAGTGTGATTTAATATCCTCTCGGGATATTTAACGCCCCGGCGAAAAATACACTTCATAGAGCCTGGGTCATCAGACACGTTGGTCTCATCATAATTCAAAATGTTTTTAGGAGGCAGATCCTGAACTAAAATTTCTAGATTACTGAAATAATCTTTAAATTCTTCTAAGGTTTTTCCCGCTCGGGCCTTCGTAATATTTTGCACAGACCTCAATGTCAATTCGTCTTTATGACGTTCTAAAAAGTTTTTGACCCACCAATCCCCGGGAACCTTATCATCAAATACATATGTTTTATTGTTTTTTTTCAGGTAATCGTACACTGCCAACTTTAAATCCAAACGTGATAGTGGACATCCGAAATCACCCGCCGTGATGAGAACTTTGACCATTTTTTTCTCTTCTTCTTGATTTAAGCGGAAACGGGGGCCAGGTTTATCGGAATGAAGATTCTTCACTCTCTTTTCAATTGTCCGTCTGGGTATTCCAAATTGCTTCTCAGCTTCATAAGAGGTTGTATTTTTGTTATTTACTAGGTCCACAGCTAATAACAGCATTTCTTCAGAATAATTTTTGTAATTACGAGCTCCTAAACGTCTTCTATCTCTTTTTTTTATAGTAATGCATTTTCTTGGGGGCATCTTGAAAAGATCTGTAATAGTACCAATGAAATATTTAGCGCAAGAAGTAAGTAGATTACTTAGGTACCTGCCTATTATATAGTTATTTATTATACTTTGATCATACACGTTTTTAAGTCACTGTTTTCACGATAAGTATTAATTTTTCCTGTAATTTATATATATTTATTCCTATATTAATCATGGATAATGTAGCATTCAAACGGTGAAAGAATTTTTATATCGAGCCAGTAATTTTCAAATCCTTCTTCTTTATAATAGTACTAGTCTAGGTAGGTACCTTGTGTACACATTTTTTTTTGTTTAATGCTCATAAATGGTCTTCGACTAAATATGTTCATGTATTTCGGGAAAGCAGTGACTTAAAAATCACGGTGTATTTATAAGCAGGTAAGATATAATCAATATATTATACTATGTTTAAATAAATTAATTGAAAACTAATGATAAATATCTAAAAAGGTAATTAGTTACTACCTACAAAATATACGAATTATAATATTATGATTGCATTAAATTTGACAACTTTATTATATATAACATACGAAAGGTAATCATAAAAAGAAATAAATAAGCCGAACTCATTATTATTTCATAGTTGACAACCCTAGTCGTAGGTAAAGTTGCCACCGAGCTAGGCGAGGTAACTTGACCTAGCCTGTAGCAAAATTACCGCCTCTCGTAACTCAGAAAAAAGGAAGTTTAAAGAATCAAATAATTGAAATAGACTTAAAAAAGTATACACCCAATACAATTCAACATAAATTACTTACCTACACGCTGATTTTCTGTAAGAAAACACAAAAGTTTTCTCGTTGTCGCAACGAGCACAATTGACCACATAAAATTAAAAGTCACACTACTTGACAGTTAACCAAGTTGCCAGCTTGAAATACTTTTTGTGATACCACAATTTATCAGAAAATCTACCAATACGGCAAAATTTGCACTGACTGCATCTGATAACAAGATATTCCCTAATATGCAGCGTAGTGTATGATGTGGTAAAGTTGCTTAAGGAAAGTAAAGATGCCACAGTTGTACTTCCTCGAATTCTAAATGGTTTAATTCTATTAGCATGAACTACCTCTATCCTATAATTTCCTATTCTTCTTATTATAATATTATTATTATCGATTGGTCGTATTATCTGATAAGGAAATCTGTCTTTATATTTGTCTACATTCAACCTACTCAACCTAACCTTAATGAGGTCAGTCTTTTTCTTACGACAATTTAAGAAATGTATCCTATCTTTTCTATTGTTTTATTTTAAATTTATTTTAAATTTTATTTTTATATTATTATTTTATTAAGCTGGTCTCGATCAGAAAAAAAGACTATTCACCAGCAAAATACGAACACGCGAATTCGAATAAGAAAAAGTAATAATTTAAAATATTAACGGCCAGCACTTGACCATAAACCGTCCGAAGAGTAAACCCTACCTATAGTAATGTGCTCGGACGTTACAGTACCAACTTTCCAGCTGCAAGTTTGTCAATTTCTCCCGCTGTCACCAGAAAAAATTCTCTTGGAAACAATATCATTGATCGATTAACGACTCGATTAACAAGACGATCAAAACGGTAATTAACTAAATTGTTATCGCAAGCAGAAACACTCTCTAGGGAAACTACGTACAACGCAAATCAACAAGGCATTGTTTGTTCGTCTCCACCACCTTCACCTACCAATAATCAGCTTTCCGAATCTTCTATTCCTCAAACCACATCTGATTCATCAAATCTGTCCACTCCTCGAAGGTCGCTCCATTCGGCTTTTCCCTATCCCTATTATAAAGCAATCCATAAAAAAGAAATTCTTTTGGAAACATTTGTTGAGAAAATTTAGATACAGAACAAATTCATGATTTCTGACTTTAATTGTTGCATTTAAACTTATATTTACTGTGGTACACTTTTCAAAAACCAAAGAGGATTATACAAAGTAAAAAAAAAATAATGTTATTTACATTGATGTTTGTTTTGTTTTTTGATAATAATAGCTATAAGTATGCACAAAGCTAAAAAAGACTGTTTGATTTTATTATGATAGGTAAATGATCCATTTCAACGACACTTTATTTGTCAAATGCTTAGTCAGTAAGTAGGAAAACTTACGTAAAAGTTTAACATAGTTTTCAGTATACATATAAATCATTCATAATGAAAAAAGATTTAGTAAATACATTTAATAGTTGAATTCTGTGATTTTACCGATAGATAGATACCTAATTTAACTATTAAATATATATAAATATAAAATTGCAATAATAATAAAAGTTAGTTATTTTTTCGGAAATAAATAAGCATCAAACAGTGTTTGACAGAAAAAATTGATATCGTCGTCATTATTAATTTTCCTGGTCACAAAATTTCTAAATCAAATGTTTTAGAAACCATTAAACAGAAACGGGTGCCTATCAAAAAATATTATAACTAAAGCTCTTAATTTTAACCGTGATCTAAAATATATTCGTTATTTTTGAGATTTCAAAATGACCAGGAAAATCAACTCAAGAACGCCATTCTCAGGGATCACCCCTTTTCTTTATCGATAATAAAACCGAATAATATGGCTGTAGAATGCCCTTGAATAAAACAAAAAGAAAAAGTCAAAAAGTGTCGCCGTCAGACAACAGACAATGGCTGTATGGACTAAGCTCCCTTCGCTTTTTCTTTATGGAATAAATCTACTAAAAAATGTCACTGTCAGTCGCACGTCATATTCTTGCTCTTCTTTGTAGTGTCAGTTTTAGTCATCGGTGAAATTTTTAAAAGAGGTATGATCGAGGTAGGACTAGAAAATTCGTTTCTTTACCTCAGCTTTATTAAACTTTATTTAAAAATTTAAGTATTTGTTACAGGTTTCTAATATTCTTATTTATTTTTAATCAAGTCTTGTATTGGTTCTATATTATAAAGTGTTATTCGACGTCCAAAAGGTATAAACGGATATTTTATTTTTATTTTTCCTGATTAACTATTTTTACCAACGATTTTTACCCTCATTGAATAATTATAATTTGCATTTGTGCTATTATGACGATCTGCTCTTTCACTGATATTATCATTATCCAAAATTAAGTAAGACTGCGTTATCTGTTAATTATCAGTCTTATTAATATTATACCTAATCAATTTTGTGTTTACAGAGCTTCACTATGTTTCCTCGCTCTTGTGATACCTTTGTCGTTCTACCTCCATTAACAAAGAACAGCAGGGTTATATTTGGAAAAAATTCAGATCGTCCTCAAAATGAAGTGCAAGAATTAGTGTTAATTAAAGGTGGCCCAAGGGAATCGAAGCTTAAGGTATTTATATTTTTAATTTTGGAAAGAAAACCTGCTTAAAACAATTCAATATAAAGTTAAGTCTGTCTACCCTAAACTAGATAATATAAAGAAAGACTACTATGTCAAGATACTCTATTCAGGTATAGCTAAAAATCATAAGTTTTCTTCAATATGGTGATATTGCAAGAATTTTTTTTTTTAAGAGTGATCTTTTGACATTTAAAGTTTATAAAATGGTCAACATAATGGTGTTAGTTAATTTACCTTAGAGCATCAGTTACTAGTTTTGAAACTACATTACCTTATAAACATTACCATAATGTTTTAGTTTTCTGACAAAATGTAACAGTTCTTCTTTGACTTCAGTGTACTTACATAACCTTAGATGAAAGTTCAAAACCTATCAATTCAGTGATATTGAGCAAGCCAGCATGGATGTGGGGTGCAGAAATGGGTGCAAATGATAAAAATGTTGCTATTGGAAATGAAGCTGTTTGGACTAATAATAATGAAGGAGATGGTGATGCAAGACAGAGGCGGCTTTTAGGAATGGACTTAGTTAGGTAATTTGTGTTATATACTCAGTAATATTCTGTTTAATTTAGTAATCATTTTTGAACAATTAAATTAAAGTCATAGTTACTTTTAAGTAATGAAAGTTAGTCTATTACAGTTAAAATAATTGTTCTCTAAAAATATATAACTTATAACTCTGCATGCATGAAATCAGTCATGACTTTACACAATAAAGTTGTCATTCACATTGTTTAAGCTGGACTAATTGATTGGCACTCATATATACTATAATAACTTAAGTAACATGACTGGTTATGTTTGGACAGTAACAGTTTTTTGTATATAATTTTTGATATTTATAATATTTATTATTAGTTTAATTAGCAACTTAGTAACTTACTAGAAATTTCAGGTCTTCCCTTATCCATTACTGGAAATTCTCGCATGCATAAATAAATCAAACTCAATCTTTATTTTACATTTTTTATTTAAAAGATCAAATATTAAATAAAGCCACTAAGCAGGTCAAAAATCATTTACATGTCTGCAACATGTTTTGTAGTAATCATAATATTAAATATGATAATAAGGATGACAACTAATTTTTGTTTGTTTGTACGTCAGGTAGATTGTTGAAAAATATTAATCACATATTTTTTTATTTGTTTCGTAATTATTAAGTAATTTTTTGTTTAAATTGAAGCAAATAAAAAATTTGTTTCTAATATTTTTCTATTATCTGACTGACAGACTATATAGAATTTCTTTTTTTTTTACCCAGTCGCCATCCATAGATAATAATTTACTCAAATATATTTAAAAAAACTAAGCATTGTGTAGAATATTTAAAATAAACACACTATCCTCCTTAGCATTGCACAGTTTGGTAATAAGCCATTCGATCTAAGACTTGTTTATATGATACTTTACGATAATAATGTATAGACATTCATTCATAGGATACATTGATCTCGTTACAGTGTTACACAATGAGTACACAACACATGATGTTATTTATATGTATTATTGATGTCTTTGCGGAAACCACGCCCTGATCACTGAGCTGGAGCGACGTTATAATGTTAAGAGTATGCATATACTAAAAATGAGATTATGGTTTTAAAAAAATAGCCTTAAATATAAAGAAATAACATTACATATTTTTTCCATTTCTTGTGGTAATTACAATATTTTTTGACGAAAAATTATTAAATATAAGGGAGTCACTATTATAGCTTCGGCCTTTACGCACCACTTTTATAACAAATATAACAATTTACGAATAATTTATTTAAAACCATTTTTGACCCGCATTACCCCATCTTTTGTCCCTATCCAGCTCATCGCTGGGCGCAATGAGATAGCCAGATCTTTTGCCTCTACGCCTATTTTTAACAGAAAGCTTTAGAAAGCTCTTGCACATTTTCATCACGAGCTCTCTGTCTATATCTAATATTTATGTTATTTGAGAAATTGTAATGAGTACATTAAAAACTGGACTGCAAAGCAAATTATTGCAATTACAATACTAAATAAAACATACTTATTATAATCACGTAATAAAATTAATAAAAGAGATTGTTTACTTGAACTTAATTATTAATCACTAGCCGTTTTCCCGCGACTTCATTAACTATACATTGAAATCCGCATAGAACGTAGCTTTTGAAAATCGGTACCTTGCGAGACTATTTAATGCAAAAAAAAAAGATCTTTTATTTTTACATGATTTTAAAAAAGCGTGTGTGTGTGGTCAATAAATGTATTTTCTTTCTTTCTTATTATTATTTTTTTATTATTTAATACTTTTGCATAAACGTACAAGGCGGACTTAATGCATGTAAGTTAATAATAACAATAAAATTTATTTATAGCAAATTTATATATGTCTGGTGGCAAATTTATATTTTTAAATACGATTATTTCAAAAAGTAATTAACTGTGCCGGGAGAGGGTAGCGGCGTTGGAATTATCGATCGTGCGAATTTGTCAGTCACGATGTCGCAGTGGTCGAGTGACTATCGTGCGGTCGCTGTGGATACATTTTTTAAGAGTAATGATTCTTACGTAATTCCTCGTCGACAATTTTGTTCTAAGTTCGGTATTCGGCGAATACGTGATGGACCTAGTGTAAATTTAATTCATTCGTGGGTGCATAGTCCAGGCAACTGCTTAGGCTATGAATGCCCACGGCCAGGGCCCAGTCGATCTTCAAGAATTCCCGAAAACATTGAACTGGTTGAAAGCAGTTTACGTGAAAATCCGCGACTTTCAATACGGAAAAGAGCAGTCTCTCTGAGACTTCCAAGAGCGATGATCATGAAATTTTAAAGAAAGATCTGAGTTCCATCCTTATAAAATTCAAATCGTTTAAGAACTGAAAGAAAGAGACTTTGATTTACGAAAAAAATTTAGTGAAACGATGTTAGAGCGTTTTCGCACTGTAAATCCCATTTTTTGGAGCGACGAGGCTCATTTTCACTTAAACGGCCACGTCAACAAGCAAAACTGCCGTTACTGGTCTCCAAGAACCCGCAACCCATAATTGAAACATCAAAAATCATTGCATTGCCCCAGGGTAACTGTTTGGTGTGCCTTATCCACGCATGAGATAATTGGATCATTCTTTTTCGAAAATTCTCGAGACCAGGCGACGAATGTCAATGGTGAAAATTATCGACGCATGATTACGGAATTATTTCTGCCAAAACTGCGAGCTCATTCATTGTGCTCTTCAGACACGTGGTTTCAACAGGATGGGGCGACAGCACACACAGCCAGAGCTTCGATGAATTTACTTCGGGAAAATTTTCCCTAAAAATTGATCAGTCGCTTTAGGGACATCCCATGGCCACCGAGGTCGCCCGATCTAACTCCCGTGGATTTTTTTTTATGGGGCTACCTCAAAGAGAGGGTTTATAACGACAATCCCCAATCTCTTATGGCTTTAAAAGAAAACATTCGTCGAGAAATCAGCTCAATTGAACCAAGTTTACTGCAGCGTGTGGCGCAGAACACAAGGCTCCGTTTTGAACAGTGTGTTCAACTCGACGGCGGACATTTGGATGACACACTTTTTAAAAAATAAAATCCGCGTTTGTATTCTATCGTTTAATACTCTTAATAAAACTTTGTGTCAATTATTACGTTTTTTATTTAAGTTTCAAAATATAAATCTGCCACCGGACACCCTGTATAAATCAGTTCTACATTGGCACATGATACGTATTTTAACTGCGGTTGTTGTAACCACAATTGATCATTAATACGTTTGGTTATATGAATCTATAATGTATTATAATCGGGAACGGACATTTTAAAAGAACAGAATAATATTTTTTACATGCATTCATTCTTTTATACTGCTAATTTTTTGTTTGTCATATATGTACATATCACTAATATCACCGGTCAATATTGATAAAGTGAACATTTCTTAGAATATTCATAACGGAACTGAATTGTTTCGTTTGCAGATAAAAAAAAAAAAGTTTTATATAACAAAGGGATTGTATATTTCAGCTCAGTCCCGACATTTTAATTTTTAAAGACATTCCCTCCGCAAGCTTGTCTGAATAGTTTTTTGCCGTCAAGTGTAATACCTATTATAAAGGCGAAAGATTCATCAATCCTGTTAGGTCCTGGGTGGCCCAGTGGTTAGAGAAGTCGCCCCGATTGCGAAACGTTATGGTTTCGAGTCCCATCTCAGAGTGCCAGGGACAAGGTGGATTTATTAAGCATTTTTCATATGGTATATTTTTCAGTATAGCATGAATATAAAATTGATCAAATATAACTATTAATCAAACATTTTTGTATCACTAAAAATAATAAAATATTTATTTCAAAACAATAAACACTTATTTTGAAATCGGTTTATTAACAATACATAATCGGTCAGTTGCACAAACGTCCATCATAGTTTAATGACGCCTTTAAGGTCTAATGAATATCTGATCTGTATGGGTAATGCCACTTTAAACTAATGGCATTTTTTGTATATTGAAGGTATGCCTTGCAAGTGAATTAACTATTCTACGTCTGATCACTGACTTTGATTGTCGATGTCTAGGTCCACACAGACACTTTATATATACTAGCCATCAAGGATATCACAGAAATGTCTAAATTACTATTAATTCTTAGGTCTGCACTTTGCTATCAAGTTTATAACGCTTTTTTGCCATGAGTTACTGTAACTACACCCATTTAACTAGAGAAACTCAGATACGGTACTTAACTAACCCTATTAATAAAAAGTATAAAAATAACTATCTAAACTGCTTTAGGTTAAAATTGGTATGAAGATAGTATAAAAATCTGAGAAAGAAGGATAGATTTATTCCCAGAAACCTAGATGTTATAGCAGCAAATACTATAGGAAATTATTTACTTACATCATTGTACACAAAAGCAAGCTAACTTTTAACAATAAAATCACTGATTAGTTTTGTAATAATTTAAAAGGAGTGGAAATTGAGAATATATATTTAGAGAAAAAAACTGATTTAGTGATAGCTTGTTCTTAGCAATGGACTTTTAAATATATTGGTTTACATCTAGTGATGGCTATAGGAAGTATTTTTATTTTTTAAGAAAATATTTTGATAGGTATATATCAAAAACAAAAGCCATAAAATTTATTAAATATAATGATACTATATATAGTCCTTAACCATCCATAAGGAAGGCCTGAGCCCCTGCAGTGGGGACGTAAAAGGGCTGGTGATGATGATGATGTTGATATAGTCCAACCCTCCTCGCCACTGCTCAAATTTATTATTCAGGGTAGTTTTGGATATAATTCATCAAAATTTTAAAAGTACTTTTTTTTATTTCTTTCAGATTAGGCCTGGAAAGAGGGAATACAGCTGAAGAAGCATTAAATATAATAACAACTCTTCTAGAAAAGTATGGCCAGGGTGGACCATGCTCAGAACTTGATGACAGTCATTTCTACCACAACTCCTTCTTGATAGCTGATCCGAAGGAGGCTTGGGTCTTAGAGACCAGCGGGAAATTGTGGGCGGCTGAAAAAATCGAATCGGGTTTCAGAAATATATCTAATGGACTGACGATAAGAACGAAAATAGATAAACACTCGGATAATTTGCAAGCGAAAGCTAAGAAAATGGGCCTGTGGAATGGTGAAGTAAGTCTAGTTTAAACTTATTACAATAATAATTACCTCATTTATTGTGCTCGCACGTCTATCATAACCAGAGGTCGGAATTAGGTAGAGTTATTTATGTACTTGCATCGAAATGTTAATATTAATGTGGACCTTCCCGGGATTTCTAATGGACAATCCCGTGTGGCGAACAATCTTACAACTAAATAATAATAACAACGTCAGAGATAGACAAATAAAACAAAGATAATTAACATAATTTTTTTATTAGTTTACATTAATTTACAATACAAATTATTGATAGTTTTAAGCAAATTCTTATACGCATATTTCGCCTTTTTTATAAATACGAGCGAATACTTTTGCTTCTAGCCTAGACTCATGCATAACAGAAGGAGGATGCTTTATTACGCATTTTTTACACTTCTTTAATTAATGGCAGGTGACATTATAGATGGAGTGCTTTTCGATTATACAAACAGTTCTAACTTGTCGTAGAACGCCGCGATGGCATACCGTAGATGTTGAATCAAATAAAATAACTTCAAAAGGTTTTATTACAATCTAGCTATGCAGGGACAGCGCTACGTTCGATGTAATTTACTAGGCTATTACGAATAAGAATTCTAAATCTCCTTTCGCCTTTTGCGCGCGTCTTTCTGGTAGATATGCTTTTCCTTTTAATCATCCCTTTTACGTCCCCACTGCAGGGGCTTGGGCCCACAAATGATTAAGGAGAACGGACCATAACTTCACGCTGGCCCAATGATCAGAGGGTATTAGCGACAGCAAATGCAGCCTTTACCAACGGTTTAATGTGCCTTCCGAAACATGGAGTACTTCGAAATTATAATTTTTGTCACCCATCCCGTAACCGGGTCTTGTGAAAATTGCAACAATGATCGCGAGCCGCGGCACTTATCCACCACGCCAGTGAGCTACTCCTTTTTTAAAGTAACGTTAAAAAAAATGTTAATCTCGCAGGGGGAATTTGATTTCACCAAATGTTTTTCTTCTGGCGGTGATGAAGTACGACAAGAAGAAGGCAGGAAATTATTAGAACTCGCAACAGCTACCAGCAATTTCGACGTCAAAGACATGTTCAATATATTGAGACACAAAGAGAGTCGCATTTGCCGCGGTTGTGATGATACGTTTCCAACTCAAGGCAGTCAGGTAAAATGCAGACGTGATAACAAAAAATAAAAAGGACTGACTTCAAAAGAGTTTACTTAAATTTCTTGTAAATTCTGGCGGCGGTCTGGTTTTTTTTTCTAAATATTCTTTTTTTAGTGCAACACTTAAAGTGAATTAGCTAACTATTCGATGACAATAATTTATAAAGTACCGAGTAAAATGGGCCTCAATCCCGCTACTTCTACGCAGTTTAAATGATTTACAGCAATATGGCGAAGTTTTATTTATATTTCTGGACGGGCTCTAAATAATATATTAGCGATACTGAATCATTAATGATCAACTTTCAGGTGTCGTGTTTGACAAATGCAGCTGTAAATGTCCACTGGTTCACAGCAACACCCGATCCGAGTGTATCCTACTTCAAACCTTTCATCTTCACATCGAACCCTAAAATATCTCCTTACACCATAAGCAGTACTGAAGATGTACGTAAAATATATTTTCTATATAATTGCATGCATACAAAAATGTAGGTAGAAAATATTTTTTCATAGTCTTTACGTTTTATTATATAAAACGTCAACAAATTTTTATAAATTTGATTTATAACCCATTTGAAATGGTAATCTATGAATTTGATAATAATTCTAATCTATCCTTTAATAAGTGAATTTCAGAAGTGACAAAAGATGGCGGTAGTTTTGTTTTTTTCATTTAATTTTACTTGTGGACAAAATACAAGCATATATCTTGATGTATTTGGTCATTTTGATTCGACGGTTTTCTTGGACGATATATTGTACGTAGGATTTGTTGTGAAGTACTTCTTTAATATGCAGATTTATTTGTAATGTGTGTTATATAAATAACAACAATATAATCAACCCCTTAGTCTGATCACGGAACCTATAAATGGTCCAAAATGTCAATAAAAGAAAATACAAACACTATGAAACAGTTTAAAAATTGTTTAATTTAATATAAATACGTTTATAAAAATCTATTTACCATAAAACAATATGAATCCACTTTATTAATTATCCACAGGCGAAGAGAGAGCATCATCTGTACAAACTTCACTCTGAGCACGTTTTGAAATCTGGCAACACGAAGATATCGAAAGTTTTACATGACATGGAAAATGGATGTATCGCCGAGATTGAAGAGTTCGTGAGCAAATACGAAAATGGTCAGAGTTCACTCGATGAACTTGATGATTTGATGAAAAACTGTGTTGAGACCGAAGTCAAACTTTATGGCTAAGTTTTGACTTTAATGCCTGCTACAGACATTTTCAATAAGCTCATCTTGATATTTAAAATCGTTTAGTTGAATCCCAAATCCAGATTTTTAAAAACAAATTGACATAAATAACGTTAGCTAATGCAATGAAGACAATTCTAAGTTTATGCTTAATAGCAGCAAGATATATTTAACAAATACATAAAACATAAATGAAGATATGCTTTGCAGAAGTAATGAATAAGTAGATGATACAATTCTAATATATATTATTTTTAGTAATTTGACTGAATGTCGTTTATAATTATATATTTACCATCTTTAACTAGGTTAAAACAAATCTATGTGTGTGTGTTTTCTTTCTTTCTTAAAGTAGTCACGTTAGGTCACTACAAAACGCCAGATTTCCTTAATGCTGATAGTTAATTTCCAAATTTCGTGTCTGCTAAAATTTGAAAGTAAATAAGCTGTATAAAATGTATGTACGTCAAGACAAATTGAAGCCATTATATACAGCACGTAAACCTGACTACAAATATGACAAAGCTGCAAGCATTTGATCTCCAATTTCAACGTATTAAGAATTATAATTGATTCAAGAAATTTATCAATTTTTAAAACTTAATGTACTTTGACTATATCTATCTACTATAATTATAATCTACTTTATATTTCTTAAAAATATTCAGTCACAAAAAAGCTTGTTTAACATTTTGTTGTTTATAATCGTTTCCATCTAATTCTTCCGTGACATAATGTAAGTTATCCTATTTATTATGAATTAAATTTACTGCATCAGGTACACGATACTCTGAAGTATAATTAAGCTGTTTAAATTTTATTGAATAAAGACACGATTTCCAAATACTGATTGGTATTACACATATTTTTTATTTTATTTGTTAAAGTTAATTGTTTTTTTTTTCTTCATTAACTGAGATACTAACAATGTAATGATTACACCAATCAGCTTCAAACTAATATCGCAAGAACGGAGTTGTCACAACATTGAAAATTATATAAAGTGTGCAAGTTACTCAAGTGAGATTGTGTGTAGTTAAATTATTAAGTACAGAGCTGATCGTAGTGTCTAATACTCTAAAGAATACTAGTTTTGTATGTATTAAATAATTTAAATATATTCGAGCGAAGTTTGATAGATTAATTTGTGTGTGATATAATTTTGTTGAGAATTTATAGGTTCACAATGAGCTTTGCAATATTTTTGATTTGATAGTATCTATTTTTTTCATACTAATATTTACACTATTTATATACGTTTGTTTAATAAATCGGTTAGCTACATCATTTATGTGCTATATGTAACTGTAACATTTTATAGAAATATAATATTTCTAGAAATAACTGATGTAAGTGCCTATTACACATATGCTCTAGAAATATGAATACCTATAATTTATTTATATTGCGTGCCTTACATTTTTCTTCTTAATTTTTTTTTTTTGTATTAGTTTAAACTATTTAACTACTTAGTTTAATTACAGTAATCACGAATATTGTGCCATTTTTGTAGCAGTTGCTAGCAATGCAGCTTGAATTTGTAGATATCTAAATGAAAAATTATCACAATGTATATTAGCGTCTCACTTGCATTATTTCGCACATATTTTATCTGTCATAAATTCACAGTAATCACTCGTTGCTTTGAACATGTTTATTTTCAACATGAATCACCGATGAGTTAAAGCGGCCACGAATTTTATGTGAAACTATGGTTAGCAAAAACGGTGGCTCTTGCAATGTAGCTAATTAACTACAATATTTTATTAAATAGCTAGGTACCAAATATTAAAGTTTGACTCTTATTAGTATAAAATTGGTGTCTCATACCATGAATGAATAAACCTAATTCATACGTTATAAACGTATGAATTAGGTTTATTTACGTGGCGAAGTGTTATTTATTAAATGTATTTTTAATGAAATTATTTTTGATGTTATATCAAATAAAATAGCTTTTTATCTAAATGTTGTTTAATTTTTCGCTTACACAATATTAGCCAATCTGTGGCACACTGCATGTCTTTTAACAAAGTGCTCACACCTACTAAATTTCCAATGGAGACTCACAAAGGCCTGTTGTTGGATAGGTGACCAAAAATTGTTTTATCTCGAGATCAGCCATAGTTCGTAAAGCCTTTGATCCCCGCTATGTCAAGAGCACTCTTAACAGTAGTTTATCGTCACCCAGTGTGTAATCGTGTGTTGTCTCCTATTTGTTATACACAAAATAATATTTTTAATATATTCATTCTGATTCGTATAAATATATGTTACGGCTAAAGGTAAATGATATCATGTTGGTTCGCGTCGTGATATTCCATCTTTAGCCGGTTAATGTGCACATTAACCAAAACAAAACTGTATTCGATGGACACGGACCAGCGGAGAGCTTGAGGGGGGCGATGGGGAGACAATGCGCGCGCACGTGGCAATGTTTTTGTTTAGTAGTAGTGTACAGAAGTATCTGTAATGAACAAATGGTTCCTTATTATTTTATTTTAATGATTAGATATTGTTTTAAGTAATTAATATTTTGTAATTGTAATAATTATAATTTTGAATATCTATATAGGTACATAAAAGTATGTGTAATGTGACAGTGATTATTTTTTTATATAAGTTTTCGTGTCAAAATAGTAAACATTATTACATTGTTTCCTTTTCCATTTCCTTATACATTTTTAGCCAAGGGCCTACAGTTACGCTTAAGTTAAGCCGGTTAAAGATAGAAGAAACTAACATTGACACCTCCTCAAAAATAAACCTAAGTTTGGCCGGCTAATCTTAAGTTTATGTTCACACCCACCTTTAGCCATAACATATAATATAGCACAGTCCCCGAACAGAGAGAATTCGTACGTTGACCTTTACTATGCAGAAATTGCCTAGATGCATATGTGCAAGCTATTGCGCAATATTTTTGAGCACGATTGAAAGAGATGTAGCAGCGGGTCATTGTATAAAATTCTTACTGTTTTTTTTTTTGAGGTACCCAACACCCAAAATAAAAAAATGTACAAAACAAGTTTCTAAAGTCAAAGGTCCTTTATTTCCATGTACTTATACAACTTAGTCTGAAGTATCACATGAATTCGTAATTAAATTGAAATAAATTTCTTACAGATAAGGGGAAGATAAATATTTAAAACTACCTAATTATAGTGTCAAACACACTACTTACTGTCCACAGAAACATACTTTTTGAGATTATTTAATAAATGCCACATTATAATACCTAAATACATATAACATTTATTGCGATTATAAAGGACACGATACAATAGTCAGCGATAAAACACCGGAAAACTGTTTCAAATTGAATTTCGGAAAACAAGAGCTTTTTTTGTGTAAATGATATGCCCATTCTATCTATAATGAAAGTGCTATAAAATTCAAACATACAATGATACAAACTACACACAATGTGGCACCTGAAAGTGAAATGTTTACTTACAGACTTTATTTTGTATTCCCGATATTAATATTAATGAGATCTTGATACTTTTAACTAATAAAATGAATAGTGCATCAAATCTTAAAACTACGTTAAACGGAATGTAGTAGAGATGAAACAACTAGAGATTAATTCATCAAAAAGTTAATTCTACTGTGACAACTTCACAACTCAGTCGAGACTGAATCACTAACCCTAAGCCGTTAGGAATCTGTAACTCAAGATTTCTTTTAAGAGTCTGCCAATTTAAAAATACTCAAGTTCGAACCAATTCATATAGCGCTATTGTGTTTCAATTACAATCACATTACACCAAGTAATATATCTCTCTTGATATAATACAAATCATCAAAGTGTAGACGCTCGTTCTATTTCCGAGTCGCACATCATAACTGGAATCTATCAACAAATTCTTTTCAGCTTGAGTCTTTAAAACTGAGGCTGAATTAGTTTTATATCTGACGGAAGATTCGCCAAGCTCCTCGCTATAGCATGCGTTAGTACGCGACGTATCCGTCAAAAGTACCATCTTACGTCAAATATTTACGAAACCTAATGCTTCGAGTCATTTCATCTCTAAAACATAAGTATTATGTGATAATGGTTGTAACAGCATTACACTTACACGAATTTCATAAATAATAAATAGACTAAAACGGTGTTTTAAAATTCGGTGATCCTGATTATATTTAAAAAAGTGTTTTACATCCATATATGAATTATGCTACACTATCTAGATCAAGACAGTTTTAGAGGAAAACGTTCCATATTAACTGCTAGCACTATTGTAAAGCGTTATGTAACCCAATCGAACGACAACCACAATCTACACAAATAATACTTAACATAAATTTGTATTCTATCCTACAGCCACAAGTGGTTATCTTTAAAAAAAGTGATTTAAAAATATGACTGGTTTTTGTAAAATATTAAAAAGAACGTTCTTAGTTTCTACTTTCCAATGGCGCTATTGTGTACTTTGGATATTATCAGCTAAGCAATCACACGTACAGTCATCGTCATAATTATAGAAGCGTCCAGAATGATCAAAAACATGTGGATAATTATCTAGGCAACCAGAATTGCAAATTGATCTAAGTATGTAGTGATAAAAATATCTTGCTACAACTTATTTCGTGTCGACTCGGATTCCATCGTTCATCGAATACTCAAGTATTGTATCGAGTCGATAATTATTAGGCCTACAGTAAAGTCGCCAGATTATTAAAAAAATTACCAACCATTTGACGTTTTAAGCATTTACTTGTTGACAATTAATTACGGTCTTTTATTGAGGACACAGAGATGGATTATGATCGATCAAACAAATGGCAAAGGCTAAGCCGCCAGGTAATAAATATCACGACAAACATGTGAGCGGCATGCTTAGACGAATATCATTTAAATTACATTAATCAAAACTAGAAGGAACTAATCTGCACCAAGAAAATGCCAAGTAGTCTGCTCCGTGTGACTACTCGTGACGCTTTGCGCACGATCTTAGCAATTGCAACTTCAATATTCTAATAACAAGATCAAAAGTTTGCACAACCAATTTATTGCAAAGTCCTAAACAACTGAATATATGCTCGTCGCTTCGCCATCATGAATAATAATTATTTACCGTATTAGAGGACGGCGGCGTCAATATGGGAGTGTAGTGATAATGTAGTGGCCATATTGTTTTTTAAGCCACCCAGCTATCCTTATTTGGCGTTATTCGTTTAAAACCAGACATCAAATCAATATCTATGGATATATTTCATTAAATCAATAAAAATCTATGGACATTAATAGTTTTCGATATAATTTGTGGACTTATATATTAAAATGACATTTACACCTTTCGATAGGCTTTTATAAGGGTATGACAATAAAATTGGTTGACTGTACATGGTCAACAAGATTACTTCATTCAACACTTTCGAATGAGACTAAAGTCGAATTGTGAAATTCGAATTTAGTCTCATGTTCGATTACGAAAACTCTACATTTTATACTAACATGCTGTTCACATTCACAAATAACAAACATTGGAAACACAAATTATAACGGTCTTATTACGACTACAAAGGGTCTAATTTAACTTGTGGCCTTAGAAAAATTATGAAATTCTTCTCGTTAATACTAAATAAACATAATATACTTTTTTTTTTGACAAAAACAAATTCAAAAAGTTCAATATTTAATTACACCGGCACTTATTACATAAAAATATGAAAATTTAAAACCGTTAGGTCTTTACACGAAATTATTTAACAGTAATCTATTTACAATGTCGAGGACTTAATTCCTAAACATACAAGAATAATGATTTTACCACTAACAACTTATTTATTAAATAAATTAGTCAACAAAACCAGTAGACATATTACAGTGCATATTCTTTGGAAAGAATCAATTCCTTTTCAGAGAATAATAAATAGCGTGTTCTTTTTTAATTGGGGCAGCAAATTCTCAAAAAATCATCCTTGCACATTGTATTTTAATTATATATTAACAAACAAACTACTTTTCTCAAGTTCCTGTTAAAGTTGTACACAATAAACACGTGTTGATTTTTTTTTTATAGTTGCTATTTTATTGGTTATTATTGTTTTGTATTACGTTGTTATTATAGTAGAAAAATTTGTCAGAAGTGCACATTTTTTTCTCTGATTTAGTGTAATAGAACATATTTACGTTAAAATATGCATTTTTGTAAAATTTAATTTATAGTAGTAAAAGAACTGTAGGTATATTGAGTAAAATAGGTCATAACCTCCCTTTACGGTATATATAATAAGTAGCGATGTGTTTCAAACTCCTATGTTAGTAGTTCTAACATCGTGATATGATTTCCCGTAACAAACACAATATTAAACTTTGTACACTAAACGTTCCAACAATAAAAATTAACAAAAAGTTTGTTCACAGTTTAATGTTCCTTTATACCTATTTCCAGACGGAAAACTATATGAGCCGGCACAGATTAAAATTCTTCGGTTTATGTTTACAAACAGACACGATCCGTGGCCGGTTTTTATGCGGGGTACGTGTGAATAGAGCCATTTATCTATCGATATATGTTTTCTGGATTGAGAAAAGTACAAGATCTCAACTGATTATTCTCAATAACTATAGTTTTTTTACGTTTCGTATGGCTAAAACCCCTAATTTTATCACTGATCATTAAAAATATTATAATAAGAAACGAAAACCTGTTAAAGTGATGTTTAAGATGGTTTAAGTACGGTTTGAGATGTTCTCAACTTTAAACACTCAATTCAAACACCGGGTGTGAGTCTATACGTATCTGGCGTTTGTACACAAAAATAGTCGAAAACAGGTTTTTCCTGTATAATTAAATCATAAATATTTATTACAATAAATAAATACAGTCAGAGTCATAATTACAGAATGGTTCAAGGTGATCAAAAATATGCCAAGTACAAAATTTTGCATATTTGCTATGTTAAAACATCTTGGCATTATTGCTTTGTCTACTAACAACTTGTTTC